ACTAATAGAACCCCCTCCAGGAGAAAATCGCGCAATCATATACATACGTACATACCATCGTTTGTAATTACATCAATACGCAATACAAACCGTTATTCAATTGTATTGGAATAATTCCATTATATATACATATATAAGAGATTGTACATAATAAACCTTGGGAAACCCAAAACTAAAAAAATAGTCAATTAAGATCATATTAAAGTTTTGCCGGCCGGCATAAATATTGAACACTGGTCTAGAAAATTTTTATTAAATTCATGTTTACTTAATCCACATGTTAAAATTAAATAAAAAAAAAATTAATACAAATTAAAAGAAATTAAAATTAAAAAAGAAAAAAAAATATATATAAAATAAGAAAAAGAAATAATAAATAAGTTCCTAAAAAATAAATGAAAATAAAATATATAAATTTTTTAAACAATGACATATATAGATTAAAAGAAAATTAAATTAAGAAATGCAAAAAATGTATAAAAAAATATATATATATGTAAAAGTTTCCAATTTGGATATGAAATTTTAAAAATATACAAAATCTGATAATTAAAAGAAAATTTAATTAATATAAAAATAAATTAAAAAAGAAAAACTAAATAAAAAGGTTTAGAAAAATGAAATGAAATAAAAAAATCTTTTTCTTTAAAATCTAAAAATGAACAAGTGATTTAAAAAACCAATTTTCTAAGACAACAAATACAGAGTTTTCAAATATCTCCCGCGCCGCCTAGAAGATAATTCATGGGAAGTTGGTTAAAAATTGATTGCCAAATTTGATTACTCGCAGGCTTGTAAAAAGAAAATTACTTAAATTAAACAAGTAATTTCTAAACTAAAGATTCAATCGACCATTTTTTCATGATACAATGATCGGAACTAAACTAAATTAGTATGGGATCACCCTCGCGTGGTCCACGGTTATCCGGCACCATACATAAAAAAAAGTATTCCGATGAAACGATAACCTTCCCACTTGTTTTGAAGTCGGTTAAAAAGAAAGAAAAAACAAAAAGTAAATTTTTTTGTGGGGTTTTTTTTCTTTTTATCCGGTTTTGGTACATGTATACTAGTTTTTTTTGGCTCTACTGAAGCCATCACTTAAAAAAAGAATATATCTCACTTTGATTCGGTCATTTCCATAGTCTTCGAAGTATTTTTTATAGTAATTTTGACAGATCAGTCAATGTTTCAAGACCTTACATTTTATCGCATCTTATTTCATTTCAAGGGAATAGTACTAAATAATATTTGTTTTCTTAAAGCTAATTCGAGTCAGATACGAGTCCAATTCGAACTGTTTTTTAGGATTAATTAAATATCTGCCTCTTCGATTTTTTTTTTCGTTTAGTTGAACAGTGTAATTGTGGTGATGCCCCTTTGCTGATGAACTTAGTGTTATTGCATGTCATTGCTAATACTCAGTGCGCCCGTTGATTTGCTATCAATAAATCTTGAAGTTTTGTTTATTTTCCTCAAATCTGTTACACCTCCATGCTTCCTTAAACTTCTAGGTACATACTTACATATGCTTGTACATATACTATGTAGTTAAAAATTTGCGTATAAAAGCTTTTACGAGAATTGGAAAATTGGCAGTAACGTTTTGTGTTTCCCACAAGTGAGGTGTTAAATAATTTAAAGATGAAGTGTTTTGTGAGTTTGCTGTTGCTGGTGGTGTTGTTGGGCGTTAACGCTTACGATTTCGATGATAGTGGTTATAGTGAGTTAAAAACACAAATAATAATAATTAAATATTTAATATTTTGTTTAAATTCATGAAAATTTCAGTTTTCACCTTTCTTAAATTCCAGATGAGTATCTCTTCAAGGAGCTGCAATCTCTGCAAGATGAAGATAACGCCAGTGATTTGCTGCCAAATAGAGCACGTCGTGATACTGCGGCCGAGAGCTCAGCGGAACATCATTCAAAGGAGTGTCCTAAGCATTCCTGGAAGAAGGATATGCATTGTTGCAAGGGGAGCAATGCTAACGACGAACAATTGGAAATTTTCAAGAGTTTTAGGAAAGAGTGCATTGCGGAGTTGAAGGGTGAACCGGGTGAGGCACTTTTTTTTAACAAATAAAATGCAACTTATAGGTGCCTTGTAAAGCCAGACAGAAACAGCCGCCAAAGTTCCCATCCAGTTTTACTTCTTACAAAAGCCCAGATGATGTTACTGAACTCCATATTAATTCGTGGAAGTTCATAGATCAGAAAAGCCTATTATCAGAAAATGATACCCTGCCAAATAGGGGGTTCAGCCTATTACCTAGCTAGATAGTTTCCGATAATGGGCAGAGAGAGCTTTTACTCTGCACGTGCCTATACAAAATGTATAGAAAGCTTAAAGAGATTTGTCCGCGGGCAACGCGGTGCCCATCACCGCCATAGACAGTTAATTCAGTTAAATGGGGCTTCTTCAAGGGCGTCTAAATTTGAATAACACGTTTTGGTATTTTAGAAAAGTAAGATGGCTAAAAAAGTGGAAAAAAGTTAGTAAAAAAAAATGTTGCATGCTACTGATTGATCTTTGCAATGCTAATTTTAATTACTGGGAGCGCTTCAAAGCTTTTGAACACCTTAGAACCGGAAAGTCTGAAACTGCATTAGTTTCGGCCGCCATTGCAAGGAAAGGAAGGTTGCAGCTGGATCGGTGCTGGACATCACCTTACGCCCATGTACAGAGCTTTTTAAGCTTTTTTAAATTTTTTTTATAGACGCGTGCAGAGTAAAACTCTCTTTTACCGAACAGTGCTCGCCAGAAAGAGCTTTTTTCACCTTGTGCATGTAATGTATATGGAGCTTAAAAAAGCACAGCAAAGTTGAAGAACTTCCGAGTTTTTTACTAACGCGGTTTTAAGAGTAGTTTTAAATATCATTAGCTTCGCCCGGTTTGGAAGCATCTGGATCAGAGCTTTCACTTCATGCATACCGAGCGCAAAAAAAATAACCGCACGCTTCGACTATTATCATTTAGATCGGCGCAGGGCATCAATCGCTTTGACCGCGTGAAGAGCTTTTTTAAGCTTTCTTTACATTTAGTACAGACTCGACTAGAGTAAAAATTTCTTGACACTGGTCTATTTGATTGTTATAGAAGCGTCGCCTGATCACTTGCCACCCCATTAGTGCACCATGTTAATACGCTTTCTCTGGAATCTCTGATATTATTTGCTGTCATGGTTCGTTAGTTTCGTCACAGGTCCGTAGGTCTGTCGGGTTTGTAGATCTAAAATAGAAATAGAAATAAATAGAGTAAGCACTGCGGCCAGCAAGTTTATTGTGTCCTCAGCTCATTACAACACTGCATCTATGTAGTCCCAAACACACTATAAATTTTTGAATAAACCCTATGGGCAGGGAGTGTATGAGCTCTTCTCTTGGCCAAAAATAGCGAAATAGATCGCTTGACTAGATCCCTAGCTTATGCCAGAGACCTCTTAGCCTACAATGACGCTTCAAAATACCTGTAATAATCCCTAAACTCTCCTTGAATAGGTTTATGAGAACCCTATATTTCTTTAGATTGTACCCTCCAATGCAGTTCCCTCAGTTTGGTATTTTCATTTCTATTATCGTGTTTGGACCTACCACAAGGAAGGGTTCAGATCCTGTCGGGGTCGTCGTAGCAGTCATTTTGGCTCATTTCCTTCGACTCCCATGCATCGTGGTTGGATAGTATTGTTCTCAGCCAGGGCATTAAGCTCCTCTATACACTCCACGACCAATGAAAAATTGACCTCAAGCGTGAGAGAGCCATGAGTACCGCCTAATATAAGGATCCTCTCACTTAGATTTAGGGATTTTTACCAAGTTAAATGGTTACATTTTCGTATAAATAATTTGATTAATCAAATTTACCTATTTGATAAATTCTTTTCTTTTTCCTCCATAGCTGATGACGCCTATGACCCCTTCGATTGCGAAAAGATGCAACAGGTGAGGGAGAAAATTATTTGTCTTAGCGTATGCGTGGCCAAGAAGTTTGATACCATCGATGAGAATGGCAAACTAAAACGTGATGTTATTCTAGCAGAAATGCGCAAGCAAATCGGTGACGTACAATGGAAGAAAGACGCTGTGGAAGGCTATGTTGACAAATGTCTGGCTGAGGCAAAGGAACGGCATGAGCAACGCGAGAAGGAAGGCAGACTGAGTGAGGGCTGCAGTCGTAATCCATTGACCTTCCAAAACTGTATGTGGCGTGAATTCTGGAACGGTTGCCCGGCAGAATTGCAAGTCGACTCGCCAAAATGTAATAAATTGCGTGAACGCACTGCGGCTGGTAATACACGATTCTTCGGTAAACATTTAATCTACAAATACTATCCCAGCCCATATGATGGTGAGGGTGTGGGTGGTATATGAGTAGGGTATAACGATATGCATATACAAATTTTTTCAATTGAAAAGAATTTAGTGTTATTGAAAAACGGCAAATAAATCAAATGAAAGCAATTAAAAAGTGTAATAAAAATCGTTTTACTCGAATAGAAAATATTTTCCACTGACTACACCCGCAGCTCACTCACCTAAATATTCATTGAATTCGGCATTTAATGCATACAGTTGCAGCAATAAATCTACGTGTACAACAACAAGAAATATACTATGTATGTATGTAGTTTTCGCGCATATATTCAAAATCCTTTCGGCTGCATCCAACCATAGTTGCACTCTCATTTGCCTATCAAAGGCCGTGCGAGTGCATTGTAGCTGCCATTGCAGGCAGCTTCAGCATCAGCTTCAAATTGAATATGCATGCAAATGCGTCAGTAGCCATCAGAATACCGGCACACCGTTCCTTGCCGCTTTTGACTCTTTGTGTCCATTTGGCAAAGCGGCAGCCATCCGTTTGTGATATCCGGCATTGCAACAAATTGACTTAACAGCGTCCTTATGATTAAGTGCACACTTTTGGTTGAGTTTTTTGTTTTAGCGCCAAGGGGGTTTCTGTTTTAGTGTTCCGTATTTTTTTTCTTCGTTTTCCTGCAGTTGTGCATTTGCTGCTGCAGTCGATTAGAGTGAAATTTTTTGTTAAAGCTTTCAGTGATTTTGTGTGCTTTTTTTGGGTACATATTTAGTCAGCAACCAGTCGCAAAACCAAGCAAACAACTAACTCAGCATCACTCGCCAACCAACTAACCTACCAGCGGCGATTCAATCAGCAGCACGTCAAATGCTAATGGCTTCACACTTTTATATGCAAATGCTTGCTGCCATTGCTGCAGTGCTCTCGCCTGGAATTCAAAGCGCTTTCATGGCATTATTTTTTATCGCCTGAATTTCAATGAATTTTTCCGATGCAATTTTTACATAAACCATTTTGTGATATTTCTTTTTTAATGTGAGAAAAATCGTATGCTGCATATTTATGCATCTTAATTTAATTTTATATGTATTTCGCAATCATAATTGTTTTTGATGTAATGTCTTTGTAAAAGAATATTTTTGAGAATTTGTGCTGAGCGTCTGTTAAAAATAGGAGCATATTACAAAAAGCTACATCACATAATACCAATTCGCCCTCACCCGCTTCGCTGAGTGTATGAAATTTCTATGTATTACTAAAGGAGTAATTTATTTTAGTAAAATTCAACATACTTATGTAAAACCCTTTAAACCCTTTTCAAAATATTTTTATACACCCATATTGTGAAACATATTTCAATTATCTGATTCCCTTAATTCAAGTTGAATTTGTTTTTTTTACTAGCTGGCAACTCGCCTGCATAAAACTTATAAATAAAGCTTTTTCAAAACCATGCCATTGATATCCATATTCTGTTTAATAATTCATATAAATTAATAATTAATTTCAATTTTAATTTTCAAACAGGTGGCAAACCTCTTTAAAATATTTTCAAAGTTAAACCTATTTCGTCTGTGACATACATATTGCGATATACATTGTGAAAAAATACTTACCCAGTCGTAGATGTATTAAAAGAAACACCAGGGCTTAGCATATATCTATATCGAATTCAATGGTTATAATTCAGGTGTTTTTAGTTAGTTAGTAGTTAGGAAATTTAGCGTTTTCCAAACCATTTCGATTGATATCCATATTTTAATAATTTATTTTTGTTATGAAATAAGTTGAGTTGAATTTAGTTTTTAAACAGGTGGCAACCCTTTTCAAACACATCAAAAAATATTATAAATATTCAAAATAAAGATTTCTTACCACTTTTATTTTACAACCATATTTTAATATATCTTATAACCTGTGTACATTTTAATTAAACTTGACTTTTCAAACCGGTGGCAACCCCAATAAAAATATTTTCAAACTACAACCTTCGCAATGTTCTTTCGTCTGACACCCATATAGTGATAGTTTTTTCAATTAACTAATTCCCTAAATTGAAGTTGAATTTGACTTTTCAAACCGGTGGCAACCCCCAACAAAATGTTTTCAAACTACAACTTTTGTGAACCTCTTACGTCTGACACCCATATTGTGATATCTATTTCAATAAACTAATTCCCTAAATTAAAGTTGAATTTGATTTTTCAAACAGATGGCAACCCTCCTACATACTGTTGAGAAGCAAAGCATTTTCAAACCTTTTCGATTGATTCTCATTGTGTAGTAATTCAGTTGACTGAATCAAATTTTGGCGTTTTAACAGGTGGCAACCCTGCTACATAGTTATAATTGCAGTATGCGCCCAAAGACATAGAGTTCGACAGCCTTTACCTTTAGCAGAATAGCGCGCCAAGTCGCATTAGTTTGAAAAGCCGTCTAACTTCTTCGGCGTGTTGGCGTAGTCCTCAAAAAAAGGTGTGGGAAACGGGGCCGATCGCTTGCCTTTGGATTTATTGATTATCGCTATGCTTCTATACAAGTGCCGGTAGTCTTCCTCTAGCAATCGCTTTGTTACTTACATAGCTATGTCGTTCAGATTTGCGGCGACGTCATAGAATTCTTCAGCTAACCGTTGAAACACAATACCGACGAACGGCGAATTTTCGCACAGTAGTGCGACGAAGCCGGCAACTTTCGCCCAAAAATTTCGCTCAGTAAAACACAACTACTGCGACAGCGAATTCAGCTGCTTATGACAAGGTACAATTAAAATTTTTACAAGTAGAGTATTTTTCAATTTCGATTTAAAAACTTGAGAATATTTAGCAATGGATCGTATTTTGCCGCTGCCGCCAGCGACGACGATAGAAATAAGTCTATCGTTGCGAACAGTCGTCGGACGAACGTCGTCGTTTGCTGTGTGCGTTTTCATATACAACAGTGTGTTTTAATTTTAACAGCGAATATTCGCAGCGAAAAATTCGCCGTTCGTCTGCATTGTGTTTCAGCGGTAAGTCGCAATCGCGCTTAAAAATTTGACGCATGGAACCGCTATGAACGAAAAGCGCCACAGCCAATTATTGCCTCACTATTTGGCTCCGTAGAAGAGAATTCAGGCCCAACTACTTTCGTGGCTACTGGCTTCTCTGCTTACCCGATGATATTTATCTAAGCTACTCTGGAAATGGACGATTTGTGCATGATCTGCTGAAAGACCCAGGCCCTTATGATCCAAGGGCTATTGCTTCGTTATCTCGCGCAGCCTTGTGGAGGAGAACAGAGACCCAACTACGTTTGCGCCTACTAATCTTTGACAACTCGCTTCTCCACAATTTAGCCACTCTAGAGGCTGCTGGTCTGTTGACGTAAAAATTGTTGTTACCTAATCCCACTCTCGCTTAACTACGTAGACGAAATCTAGGGCCGATCAACTTGAGTAGGGATGTAGAGCTGGATAGCGTTGTAGAGCTGTTAAAAGGTGGTATAAGTTAGGTTTGTGTTGTAGAGCGGGCACGCAACTATTTACTCGCTTCGCTGTTTTATATTAGCCGCCTTGCATTGGCCACTTTTCTGCTAGCTATGTTCGCTCGCTTAGCGAAAAGTTTTGTATGCAAAAGCATCAACAAAGTTAGCTAGTAAGGATGGACGTTAGCAAGTTTGGTTGTAGTTCGTTCCGTTCGCCACTTGCTTACTGTTGGCGAATCGATGACGGCTATTCTTTATTTTCATTCTTTGTTCTCAGTGCCTTTGTGTGGCGAATATGCATAGCCAGCTAAAGAATCAGCACCGAGTTACTGAGTAGCTTTTTTCAAGAAGTAGACGCTTCAGAGCTTGCTGCACACTACTGGGCTCAGCTCGATAATGCCGCTGAGTGCTGAGTTACGCAGAACTAAGGACGAAGGAGGGAAACAAATTGGTAAAGCGTTACGTTTAGTTTGCTCATTGCCAAGTACTGTCGTTTAAGTCGGTTATCTAGCATTTCAATCAGGCAATATACTACGTATATTGAAACTCATATAAGAGCGGTGCTTTGCAAGGATATTCAATTCGTGCTTGGCAACTACAAAAACAACACCAGAAAAGAAAGAATCTTTAGTTCTATAATGAAAACTTTACACCCCACGATGAAACGCTTGCTAATAAACCAAAACTGAATGACATCGGCAGGATCTCAGATGTGCTACACCAGAATACAGCATAAGGCATGGTTCTAGACTCATGGGTGTCTGAGCGCACTATTCGATCTCATTTCGGCTTTTTGAAAATACTCTTCAATAGAAAGATATCGGCGAACAGTGGAATGAAATTTCACGTTCTCTAAGAATCTCCGCTGAAGATTTAACTATGTAGTAAGTAGTTTTCAGCGGATCGGAAGGAACCACTGCCACTATGAGGTAAATATTCACATGGTATTTACTTAGAATAAAAGTAAAGAATTTCTGGATTTTCGGCACTACTTCTCGATTTTCGAGGCTACTTTAGGATTTTCGTGTCTGTTTTCGGATTTTTGGGACTACTTCGGGGTTTTCGTGACTAAATACTTCAGAATTTTCCTGACTTCTTCGGGATTCACGGGACCATATCGGGATTTTCGGGACTATATTGAGATTTTCAAAAGCCGGCAGTTTATATTCGCTTAGATTTTTGAAATCGCTTTTTATTGTTGGAAATTTCCAAAATGTGAAATTACACCATAGCTTCTTGCTACCGAAAATTTGTTTTCACATGGCAATTAAAGAAAATAGGCGAAACAAAATCACAATTAAAAACCATTAACCAACGCAGAGTGCATTTCTCTAATAAGTAAGTTATAAGTAGGGCAATAAAGGTGAGAAAATATTTCAGATCTTCGTAAAAGTTTAATTTTTTTACAGTTAATAGCGGCTATTAAGCTTTAAACGCACAGCTAGAGCTTGAAGCAATATGTATAAAGAAATTATTAACTAATTATTGAAATTATGAATGAAAGCCCAATTTGCTGGATGAGCTGAAAAAAGCCAAAATGGAGCTAATAAATGCGCGATAAGCAAAAGTGCATTTTAAGTGCAATTCATGGCACAGCTGCTTTCGCGCTACTTAATATTTGTATTATAAACGCAGTGGTAGTGGAGCCAAAGCAATGAAGTGCACTTCAAAAGCAAAAAAAAACA